AAATTTAATTCACTTACCTTTTGGGTCCTTGTTGATACGATGGAATAAAAAGACATGGTGCAAATTAAAGAACCCTGTGTGGCAGTTGATGCTGTGGCTTAGTGAGTTCATTTTGGTGTTCATAAGATTTATTGCTGGTTCAAATGACAATTTTGGGAGGTGAGGTTTGTCACTTTTTTCCCTTTTGTTTTAAATTTTCATTTATTTTGTTAAGGAATTCACATTTTGTTTCTCCTACTATTTATTCATGAAACAGAGCTAGGCACTGGGCCACACCCAGGGAGATTGTTGTTAAACCTTTCATGCCTCCTGTTACCAGAGGAAAAGTTGACACATGGATGAATAAATGGATACTATTTTATTAAAATGACAGTTGTACAGGTTAGAGGAAAGCGTTTCAACCGTATAGACAGATAGTCCTAATGTGAAGCCAGTTATTTCTTACTCTGCAATAGCAGGAGTTATGGTGGAAGAGGAGGCTCATTTTCTCTGTAAAGCCATCTGGTGATGAATCAGCCAGCCAGTTGCCAGAAGCATGAGGATAGACTGCCCTTAACATGTGTTTTAGCTGAAGTGATTGCATGCAGTTATTATCATTTCTATAATAGCTTTCCCCTCCTCAAACCTACTGATCAGAGTCAACTATTTCTTTGCTATGGGTTATGTGATGCATTATTTCGTAGTTCTGTTGTAATGTTGTTATCACATATCAAGTGCACTATTGTTACCTCTGTGTCAGCTCTAGCCTTATAGTAATTAAGACTACTCAGACCCTTCTTGCTGTCAGTCCTCAATTTGAATCATAACGAACTGGAAGCAACATTTTAAAATATAAATAAAAATAGTAAAATATATATTATATTGAAATCTAGAAGTGTAGTGAAGTTGTGAGTGCTGCTGAACATCTGCAGAGAATTTTTTTTTTAATTTAAAGCTTAAATATTAAATTTTTAGTCCAGTGGATCCTGAAATGAACTCAGATGTAGTAAGAGAGTCAATTTTCAAAGCTAATTATAGCTTCCAGAACATGGGAAATGGGAATATGATGCTGGGTCAGTATTTATCGCCAAATGACTTCCAAATGTCTGAACTTGAAACTTTCTTTAGGTAGCTGCTGAAAACAAAGCCTTACGTGACAAGAAGATAAAGAATAAGAAAGAGACAACTGAAGGGAGCAGTAACTAGGATTTAATGGCTACATTTAATGGTTAGCAAAAGTTAGGTGATTTCACCTCCTAACTCTGGAGAGTTCCATGTCATCCTCATCAAGAACACCTGTAGTAGCTCCAGAGCTACTCATTCATTCATTAAAAATTGCTTGTCAAACAGTTGGTGAAGCATTGGGCTGTTGTTAGGTGCCGTCGAGAAGGAGAACAATTCATAGCAACGCTGTGTATAACAGAACGAAACACTGCCTGGTCCTGAGCCATCCTCACAGTCCTTGCTATGTTTGAGCCCATTGTTGCAGACACTGTGTCAATCCATCTCATTGAAGGTCCTCCTGTCTTTCACTGACCCTCCACTTAACCAAGCATGATGACCTTCTCCAGGGACATCTTTTGGCAGAAGGTAGGCAGATGGAAGACTAACAACATCTCCATCAAGGAGTTAGGTGAATGAGAGATGTATGAATCTACATAAATTGACTGTATCAATTAGATAAGCTGAGAAAAGAGGGAAGACTTAATTGTTTTTAGCTTTATAGAAAAATGTCTGTTTTGGTGAAATTCATTTTTTGTTATATACAGAATTTTTACTTTAAAGTTCTGTATTTTACAGGATTGTGCTTTAGTGTATGGATGTATTTCTTATTACAGAATGTTTCATTTCACTGTAGTGTAGTCTGCTTCTAATTCATGTGTTGAAACGTATGCAGTCTCATGGAAGAAATGTTCACAGATATTATTCTTTTGATTGATAAGAAAAACTGTTGCATAAATACTATCAATTGCCCCCGTTTTACGGAAGAGGAAACTGAAGGACATGGGATAAATAGCTTACTTGTCCAGGGTCACAGAGACTAAAAAGTACTGGAACCAGGACTCAGGCTCTTATCTCTCAGTCTGTCTGTTTGACTCCAAGGCCTATGCTCCTAATGACAAAGCCATATTTCCTCTAGGATAGTTCTCAAGCTCAGTCCATAGGCCTCTGGGAGTCTCAGAGAACCTTTCCAGAGACTCCAAGGTCAAAACTGTTTTCATAATAATATCAGATCATTGCCTTTTTATTGTGTTGACATGTGCACTGATGGTCCAAGAACAACAGTGGGTAAAACTGCTGCCTCCTTAAATGAAGGCGGTGATGCCAAACTGTACTAGTAGTGATTGTATTCTTCACTGCTAGGCACTGAAGTGAAAAAAAGAATTAGAAAGTCATTTGCACTTAAGAATGTCCTTAATGAAACAGTAAAAATTATTAATTTTGTTAAATCTTGACTCTTGAGTCACAACTTGTTAATAATAGTCTGTGCAACTGATTGGAAGCATACATAAAGCACTTACCTGTAGTGCGTACCAGGGTACTGGGATTGTTCCCTGGCAAAGTATTTGTGTCATTGTTCGAGTTGTGAGCTGAGCTAGCCACTTGTTTTAAAGAACACTATTTTTACTCGAAAGAATGACTGGCAGACAAATTACAGGTATGCAGATTTGAGTATTTGGCAGACAAAGTGAGCCTGCCACATCAAGGGAAACAACTAACTCATTTGCTGGCAATGATAACATTTGTGCTTTCAAGAAAAAGTTAGAATTTTGGAAAACTTGAATCTGCCACCTTGAGCTTGATAACTGCCCATTACTCTAAAGACTTTTCTGATGAGATAGGTGATAATGTTAATCATTGTGATGTTCTAAAATAATATAATGAAATGCGTGAACATTTGAAAGATCTTCATAACTCAGGGAACCAGTATTTTCCAAATGATCCATGCATGATGTCACAAAATCCATTCAGAGTATAAGATAAATCAGTGGATATTCATGTAACAGAATATGAAACGTTCATTAAATTGGTTTCATATTCCGTAGTGCAAATAACCTTCAAGAAACTACCACTTCTGAAGTTATGATGTATCAAATAAACTCTAATTATTTGAAAAAGACTATTAAAATACATCTCCCTTTTCTAGCTGTAGATCCTGGGTGGCACAAATGGTTTCCACTTGACTACTAACTTAAAGGTTGGCAGTTTGAACCTACCCAGCAGTGCCATGGAAGAAAGGCCTGGCGGTCTGCTTCCATAAAGATGAGAGCCCAGAAAACCCTATGAAGCAGTTCCACTCTGTAACACATAGGATTGCCATGAGTCGGAATCGACCTGATGACAACGGATTTGGGTTTTTTTCCTAGCTGTATATATGTGTGAAGCCACATTTTCTTCAAATACTTCAAGTTAATATATGGCAACAGAATGAATGAAGAAGCAGATGATGAGAATCTCTATTAAGCCAGACCATTAAAGAGAATTGTAAAAATGTAAAATATTGCTACTTTTCTCACTAATTATTTTTGTTTTGAAAAGTATAGTTATTTCTCATAAAAATGTTAGATATGTTTATATGAAATTGATTTATTATTTTAGATTTATTAGTAAATAAATACCAGTTTTTCAGTTTTAATTTCTAACGTGTTAATATTGATACATATAATCCATGTAAACAAATGTTCTTTGGGGTCTTTTTTTTTTTTTTTTAAGACTATAAAAAGTTTAAGAATTATTGCTCTAGGAAAATGTGAGAAAAGAGAATGTCAGAGGTGCCTTGGAGGAAAGGCCTGGCAATTCTACTTCCTGAAAAATCAGCCGTTGAAAACGCTGTGGAGCACAGTTCTCCTCTGATACACCTGGGGTCACTATGAGTTGGAATCTACTCCACCACAAGGAACAGAGATGTTTTTGAAATTTTACCATTGGCATTCATTGATTCTATACTTGGTAGACAAAGGAACAATTTTCTTGGTCTCCATTGTTCTTAATCAGATATCAAATGCACTCATTTGGAATTCAGTCTCTTTCTCAAACTATTTATAAGTTAGACATTTATTTGTACAACATTGCTATTTCTTTCTGATATTAACATGATATTGATGTGATAATTTACTTGAGGATTGTAACTCATTGCCATCGAGTCAATTCCTGCTCATGTAAACCCTGTAGTAATGAGTAGACCCACCCCATAGTGTTTCCAAGGCTGTAATCTTTACGAAAGCAGACTGCCACATGTTTCTCACATGGAGCGGTTGGTGAGTTCAAACCACTGACCTTTTGGTTAGCAGCTGAGCACTTAACCACCAACCACCAGGGCTCCTCTTGAGAATTATAGACATTTTTATAAGCAAAGCCAAACTCATAGATTGTCAAGTCAGTGCTGACTCATGGTGACCCCATTGTTACAGAGTAGAACTGCTCCATGGGATTTTCTTGGCTGTGTAATCTTTACAGAAACAGATCACCAGGCCTTTCTTACATGGTGCCACTGGGTGGGTTTGAACTGCCAACCTTTAGTACACCTGTGGACCTGATAGATGTTTATAAGCTATGCTAACAGTCTTTCAAAACCAAAAAACCAAACCTGTTGCCTTCGAGTCTATTCCGACTCATAGCGACCCTATGGGACAAAGTAGAACTGCCCCATAGGGTTTCCAGGGAGTGGCTGGTCGATTCAAACTGCCAGCCTTTTGGTTTTCAGCCGTAGCTCTTAACCACTGCACCACCAGGGCCCCAAAAGCCTTTCAGGAGTATGGCAAATGTTTACTAATTGATTACTTGCTTAATTGACTTAGTGTATTTCTTTTCAGTTGTGCTCCTTGTGAAGTCTGTGAGCTTCTTTACTGATGAGTATTTGGTAGATACGTCATTTCCTGACACCCATGAACAGTCTATTTAATCAAGTATAAATATCGATGAATGCAGTTCTATTCTTAGGTCTCTTTAAGGGTTTTGGTGAATAGAGACGAAAGCTAAAAAATATCTCAATGTGTGTTTTTTTGCATATCTCTCTGTAGGATGACGTAGCTTTGCCGAAGAGTTAGAAGCTAAGCAGAAAATGAGCTTAACATCCTGGTTTTTGGTGAGCAGTGGAGGCACTCGCCACAGGCTGCCACGAGAAATGATTTTTGTTGGAAGAGATGACTGTGAGCTCATGTTGCAGGTAATTGCATCAGCCTTCCATGTGTGTCTACTCAAAACTTGGAATTGGTGTAAAATGTGTGTCTGCTCCTTTGGAGAACGCTATTTAGATGTGAACTTTCTGGCTTCCTTTCCCTCCTTTAGCTCTAGCTACCAGTTCAATAAATTTCTCCCCCTTGAGCCATCTTAAGTTCTAACTCTTGGGGATTATATTTTGGATCTGTAAAATTAAGTCCCAGAATAGAGAAGTTTATTCTTAAGAAGTAGGAAGTTTCACACTGTATGCTTTTAAAATAAGATTTACAAGTAATCTATAAAATCAGCATAGCATGGAGTAAAACTGAATTTTAATCCTGGATTTCAGTACTGAAATTAGTTCCGTTGCTTCTTTTAGAGATGTTTATTCTGATGCCTTCCTGTAATTTGAATATAATTAAATACTATTGATATTTACTGAGTCACGTGTAAAGGTATTGTTTATAAAAGATACTTTTAAGGTATCTTTGAGTAGGGTAATTGGAAAAATTGCCTTCAGATTATTGAGAACTTGGTATTATAGTTATTTAGTTATTATGTATTAGTTGGATAAAACAAAATACATCATTATTAGAGTTAGCCTGTGCAGTGGATCAAGAGGCAAATCTGACAGGTCCTGGCCGTATAGAATAAGGTATTATTCCCCTCTTCCCTTTATTTGGTTAATAATTGTACTTAGAGTCAAAATTTTTATTAGCCCAGTTGTCAGTTGGGGAAGACATTTTGATTGTCACAGTTGGTGGCATTGGGGTGTTATTACTGATATCTAGTGTGTAGAGGCCAGGGATGCTGCTAAACATCCTGCAGTGCACAGCATACTCCCATGCCTGACCAACACACACAAGGAAGAATTATCCATCCCAAGATGTCAGTAACGCGTAGATTGTGAAACCTTGCGTTAGTGCTAGGAGAATCAAGTTTGCATATGTTTGTGTGTGTTTTTACTTTAAAATCGGAGAATTTATTTTGTAATTTTAAATAAAGCCATTATGTATATAGGTGTATGAATGAGTTACATACACAGTGACACCTTAATTAAAGAATGAGAAATACAGTAGAACAGAGATTTTCTGGCTCCCTCAGTGATGGAGTAGTGAGAGTGGCAACTGAGAAAAAGGTAGTAATGATTATGTTTGCTTATAGGCTTCTTGGAACTGGGTCAACCTGGGGAGAATTCATTCATTAGGGAGTGGAAGAGTAGCACTTGTATCACCTGGCAGACAAGCATCCCAAGAAAGGTGAGAGTGGCCCTGCGGTTAGGAGTTTGTAGGATAAGTCACTTCTCACATGAGGAAAGGAATACTAAGAATGTTCCATTGAGGCATTTCCAGTGAGGTATCCATGTCCTGAAATATATGTAAGTTTTCTGATAATATCTAAGCGGAGGCGGTGGAGCTGAGAGTCTAAGGAAACCAAGGTGAGTTCATTTCTCAGGACACAGTATCAGAGAGGAAAATGCTTCACAGAGAAAGATCTCTGCAGATGGTCCTCCTTGAGTATTCGGCCGATCAGTACATGTATGTGAGGAAACTGCCTAAAGCCAGGGGAAAAAGGCACCCAAAAGGATTAGAGATAGCAGTTCCTAGTACTAATATAGGGCCAGAAATGGTGCCTGTTCCCCAGTGCCAGACTGGAAAACCTCATGATTCATCGGGCATTGGTCTCTGCCTTCTCAGTAGTGAGAAATAACCCTACATTGAGCACTGCTTGGTCTCACCTGAATCTTAAAAACAAGACTCAAAAGGACCAAATTGTTTCCAAGTAATTTTACTGGTTCCAGAGCAAAACTCAAGAATATTTATAGGAACGCAAAAATATTCAACATCCAACAAGGTAGAATTCACAGTGTCTGGTATCCAGTCAGAAATTACCAGGCTTGCAAAAAAGCAGGAAAACGTGACTCACGTTAAGGACCAATAAAAGATTTGTTGGATTTGAAGAGTTTGGCAAAATAAAAAAAGGCGATAGAGTTTTAAAATATTTGTTTCAAGTCTGTTAATTAAAATACTGCCATTATAACAGAAATTGAAAGCAAAAATCTAATTTTTTTTAAATGAAGAGAAACTAAAAATTAAGCTAACATATTTATTTTAACTTCAGCAATATTTCTGATATGGGCCTCTGTCCTATTTATGACAATTTTTATTTATGTTATATTTTTTAAATAGAATATAAAGTTGATGAGGAAACTGCATGATCAGGCAAAAAAAATGGTTTTGACCTGTTCCTCTGACTCCACCCCTAAAAATACTTCTGATCTTTATCTGATAGCAGTACAGTGCTTTTAGCACTGCCCTAGACACACTGTACTCTGAAAAAGATCCATAATTAGATTGGCATGCTGGTCATCTGGTACTCTGGCTCGATGCTACAAATTAATGGAACTCTTCTCAGCACAGAGACATGCATCTTGTGTTAGGAAGTAAGAACAAAATTTTGCAAATTATATTTAGTTTTAAAATGGTCTGATATTAATCTCTGATAGTATATTAGTACATAAATGAATTATTGAAAATTTACTAGAATATTTTTATATCTCAAAAATGATCTGAGATTATGTATGTATTATATATATGTTTTACAAGTATATAAATGTAAAATATATTTGTTTTGAAAGATTAGAGCTGGAGAGTTGATGAAATTATACTTTCATTTTAAAGTTTTACATAGCTTAAATGATTATACATTAGTTAGGTTAGTGTGATAAGTAAAATTGTTAGGAGTAAAAATAGTATTTGATTGCTTTTTAATGAGTGAAGAGAAAAAGATCTTTTAAAATTTGGTTAATCTAATTCAGCATTTATAGTTAAATTTCCCATTTTTTAACATGTTGGAAGCAAATTGGCTAGGCTTCAAAATCTCTGCCTCTGAATAATTCTAATAGTTCCTTACTGTAAAGATTTCAACTGTAAATAGATTTACTGACATTCTTTAAAATACTTTCATGATAATATGTCTTATAATTCAGTGCAAAAAGGAAACAAGTGATTCACATGAGCCTTTTGATCGCAATTTAAATTATTTTTCTCAAGATCAGTGGATATATTTGCATTTACCTCTTGAGTTTTTATGTGCCTTTGTTATTTCACCACGTTCTAAAAAATGTAGTTTAAAGAATGTGATCATTGGGAAGAAAATGTGCTTGGAGATTAAAAAGTAGGTGATTAACTGGGGATTCCTGAATTTGAATTCTATTTCTGCCACTTACCAAGTAGTCAGGAAAGCTGGGGCAAATTAGACTTGCTGTGCTTGTTTGTCCAGCTATAGAAAGATGATTTCTACTGTATTTCACATGACATTGTATACAATTAATCTTCACTGAGCCATGGATAAAAGGAACAAAGTATAATTATTAGATGAAAATTATACTTGCCTTTGTTTCAGGTGACACACATTAATATTACTACTACTGTTAAAAGTACTTTACGTTTGGATGGTATTTTCTTGTTTTCAGTGTGCATTTACATTATTTCAGTTGTTCCTCTCAACAGTTGTCTGGAAGATATAATTATCCCCATTTTACAGGCAATAAAATTAAGATTTAGAAAGATTTTGTGACTGGCCCAAGGTCACACAACCATTAAGTGGTGGAAACTGGGATTAGAACCTCAGTGTCCTGACTCAGGATCAAATGATCTTTCTGTCCTGCCACTCTACTGCTGCTGTCACATGCATGCATCCTAAAATTAGTTTGATAACATAATACTTGTGCAAGTAAACATGCTCAAATTTTTGTTACAATATATTGGATACTTCTAATACAAATAAAGTTACATTATGAAAAGTTCACATCTAGATTCTTACTAATTTTATCTTCATGAATTTTTAATTACACTGTATACTTGAATTTTGAACTCTATTTTGAGAAATATTATCATGCCAGTTAAATTGTTTGGTTTTTTTCCTGATGCATAATGGAAAGTATAACGGAATTTTATGTGACTTACTATTTTAATATTGTCTGGGAGGACTATGGAATGTGTTTGAAGATTACAGGTAACTTATTTTTATCTGTCTTTTGGGGCACAGTGAAGGGTAAATCTGTTTTATTACTATCATTGTAAAAACGTGCTTAGGCTTTTAAAGAGTCTTTTAGCTACACTATCTTAAAAAAAGAATTCAAAATAGTGATGGCACACAGTAGATACCTGTTTTTTACTTTTAGGTTTCACTTAGTTTATGTACCCATGTCTTTCTGTGTCTTTTTTCTTTTTCTCCCTCTTCTTTGGTGGTAAAAAGGATTATTATTAGTAGTAGTAATAATGTTTCTCAGTAGCCATTACATACCCAAAGCATATATGACACATATAAGGTAGTCATTTGTAGCATTTCATGTGTTATTTTTTATTTAGAAATTGGTTAATTCGAGTCCTTGATTTTTTTTTTCATTGTTCTTGCTCTGAAATTGTTTTTTTTTTTTTTTTTTTTTACATTTTGACTTTATTCAGTGTCAGGCTTTTCCTTGTTATTTTGTTTTATAGGGAAGGAAGTATTCCTTAAGCAAGTGAATAGGTGTTATTGTTTTGTTTTGATTCCTTTTTTTAAAGTTTCCAAGATTTTTTGATTTTACAGTGGTCATATCTCAGAACCGTATTTTTCTTTGTTTGTTTTGGTTTCTTACATTAAATTATGTGTACCTTGAAGAAAGAACTGGAGACCTGGTGGCACAGTGATTAAGAGCTGGGCTGCTTACCAAAAGGTCAGTGGTTCAAATCCACCAGCTCCTACTAGGAAACCCTGTGGGGCAGTTCTACTCTGTCCTGTAGGGTCGCTATGAGTCGGAATCGACTCGATGGCGGTGTGTTTGATTTTTGGTTTTGGAAGGAAGAACTGTATTCCTCCTAATTGTGAAAAGTACTGTCAATATGGGAGAGGGGTTAAATTTTAATTGATAGTGAAATGGAATTTGTCACAGTAAGATTTTTTTCATCCAGTTGGATGTTGTTATTAGATAACATTGTAATTTCAAAGCTAATTTGAAATTGA